CCCCAAAACCCCAAAACCCCAAAACCCCAAAACCCCAAAATAAATGAGACTAGTTGAATCATCTTCCAAGTGTTATGATTTTAATCCTTCTAAAATATTCTTTTCAGTAAAAATAGTTATGTAAATTAAGAAGAATTATCAAAACTATCCCTGAAAGATGGGGTTAGTTCATTCCCAGATAGTTCATCAACATACTTCATGAATCCCACAGTGCTCTCTGGGCCCTTAGAGTTGGATAAAGCTGTGTTTTCAATTCTTGAGCTCTCTTTTATACTGGAGATTTCTCGATCATCACTAAGTAAATTAAAGCTGAGCTTGTTGTCCGAAGTAGCACCATAATGATCATTTTTATTTTGATAATAGTGGTTAATAACTACCTTGGTCCCTATCATCATAGTACAAATTGGCAAAAGTTCGCAGATAAAATAACATGCTATACTGAAAGCAGGGTAGCCAAAATCATTGTTTTTAATCGAACCATTGATGAAACTGAAATTGTTCCGGTCGAGCACTAACTTCCGCACAATATTTTCGATCGCTCTTAGATACAAGGGTAATGCAATAAACAAGACGCTTAAAAGGATCCTCTTCTTCATTGACTTTGCTTGAAGTGGTGAGAAATATTTGAGCTTGCTGTAGTAATATTTTCCAATGATAATATAAACTGTTGCAACAATGGCATAGATTACTGAAACAACATAGACAAAAATTCCGAATACATCTTTGATATCATCTTTTAGTGCACAAGAAGTGACTATTACCCAGACTAAAATTCCAACAATAATACTCTGAACTATTACTAAAGATGCATCAGTCAGTCTCTTTTTGATGGGGTTGATAAGGCTGAAATAATCATTTATTGACCGAATTTGGTACACCCAGTTATAGTAACTGAACATGAAGGAAGAAATCATCAGCAGAAGAGGCAGATAAGTGATAACTCCTCCCCTTCATACATGTGGTGGTAAGTAACTTCATTCTCTATATGAATATTAATTAAAGCACAAGAACGCTATCAATCCACTTCTCTCTCAAATTTGACTTTACTATTACACTTCTGCGAGCAAAAACCCAGTAAATACTTACTTCTTAGAGATATTGAACTGGTGGAACACCTGCACGATACGAAAAATAATGGACAGGTTAAGAGTCAAGAAAAACATGACCATTCAGTTATAAGTAATTCCGTATAAACGTATGAATTTGTAGGAGAAATACAGAAAAATTAGCAATGCTACCCCTGAGCTTGCACCAATGAATATCAAGGAACCAAGGTATTTATCGCATGGATGGCAGATGCTTCCTGGCATTTAAAACAATTCTATTTTATTATTCAATAATCTCTACTCAAGAAGGGGTTTTGGGGTTTTGGGGTTTTGGGGTTTTGGGG